TTCCCCACGAAAGACTAATACGTAAAGTGTAGGGTCATGGAATTGGAGGAGATATTCTAAATTGGATTAGGGCGTAGTTACAGGACAGGAAACAGTCGGCACTAAATTGGATTGAAGTAAGGTCACTAGTGGAGTACCCCAAGGCACAGTACTTGGACCATTACTATATATATATATATATATATATATACTGTATATATACTGTATATATATATATATATATATATATATATATATATATATATATATATATATATATATATATATATATATATATATATATATATATATATATATATATATATATATATATATATATATATATATATATATATATATATATATATATATATATATATATATATATATATATATATATATATATATATATAAACGTAGACAGCAACATAAGTAAATTTGCTGATGACATTAAAACAGGGCGTGTAATTAAATCTGACGAGGTCTTAGTAAAACTACAGGATGATCGAAAAAAATTTTTTGCATGGTCTAAAAAAGTGGCCAATAAAATTTAATGTGGAAAATGTAAAGTACTTAGCCTAGGAGATGTCAGTAGAGAAACCAGAAATCAGATGAACAACGTTGATATAGAGAAATCCGACTGTGAGAAAGGTTTAGGGGTAATGCTAGTAGGAATCTTAAACCAAGACAATAATGTGTTTTTGCTCGAAACAAGGCTAACAAATTACTTGGATTACAAGATCAGCGAGGTTATTCTAAAACTTTATCTTGCGCGTGTGAGGCCTCACTTGGATTATGCGGTTCAGTTTTGGTCATCGTACTACAGAATGGATATAGAATCCCTAGAAAGCATTCAGAGGAGGATGACAAGATTAATCCCAAGCATTAGGAACCTTGAGTACAGAGACAGATTAAAGCATTTGAATTTGCACTCCCTCGAGAGACGTAGAGTGAAAGGCGTTATATGATTGAGGTGTATAAATGGAAGACATGGTTAAACAAAGGTAAACACTGGCTTGTAAATAGAGTAGTGGATGAGTGGAACAAGACACTGAACATTACCATTAACTCGAACACGCTGGATAACTTCAAATATAGGTTGGACAAATGTATGAGCGATACGGGTTGGGTGTAAACGGGGCTGCCTAGCATGGGCCATTGGGCCAATAGGCCTGATACAGTTTCATTCATTCTTATGTTCTTATGTTCGTGTAATGAGTACTGTACTATGAATCTATCTACATTACTTCATTCATGGGGGTTTGTTATCCCCCTGAAATTAAGGGGTCTTATTATTTTAAGTTCCCAACATAGGTTGTACTTCTGGAAGCCAAGTTCTTTTTGGCTTGGATTTGGCTTCGAAGGCCACGGGTCTGGCTTCGGATTTTCAATGAAACCCTGACCATATTGAGCTGATCCTTGACTTTAATGTTCACACAATAACCTGACTTGGTAGGAAATCCCAGGTGCTTCCTGCACCTTCAGTAACGTCTCGGTTGAATCATCCTCTTTCTAGTGGTCTATTCTCACAATGACCTGACATGAAATTCGAACAAACACCACCCCTGCCTTCTCAAGTCCAGATGTTGTTGGCTGATTGCAACACCTTTGGATATCTTAAGAAAGAGTTTATTGCAATGCTTCTCTGTGTATGTTTAGTAGGTATTTTGCATTCCTGATTTGTTTTGATTAATGAATAAAATAAATGATAGATAAATGAATGAATGAAATTAATAAATGATAGATAAATGAATGAATGAAATTAATAAAGACGATGAATAATTAATAAAAACACAATGGTTAAGATAATTTTTTTTAAATATAGATTGTTACTATAAGCAAATTTAGTAGACTTGAAGACTGTATAGCAATATGGTGACAAAGTTTCAAATGCATTATTTTGGTCTCGGGTCATTTAAGGTCAGGTTAACGTCACAGGGCCAACACATTTGACTTGATCTCACCTGAAGTATTCCCTCCTTGGCACTGGTCCTCGACATACTGAACAGTAATTTTGTCACTACCACGGCAAACCATGTCACTTGCCGAGTAAGGAAAAAAAATGCATCGCCTTAGATCCGCCACTATTATGATATATACAGTATTTGTTTAATATGATCTAAATACACCTTAGAACACATCAACCGTGTGTAGGATTAGTGCGAGAGGGGGCAAGATAGGAGTTGGCTGGGTTAGAAAGAGTGGGGCCAGTCACAAGGGGAGAACCACTACTCTATACCAGCGTAGGGAAGGTAGCAGTGACCTTTAGAGGAGCTGATGAGTCACATGCTGTTGGTGTGGCATTTAGTCTACCAGTGACTGCGTGACAAGAGCACCGCTTTATTTGATGACATCATGATGGTAGGACGGGGGTTTCTGAGCCTTACACACATTACTCATCACCTACTTGTGTTACTCGCTCTAAACACAGTCTTTGCTCCTGACGATAACTGATGACACACACGCACCTTAATTATATGCTGGTCTTTGTAACTCAACTCATTAAGTACATGTGTGTGACTGATTATATGTGATTTTGAGAATGAGATTTAGCATTTAGTACAAAGGACGTATCTACGACATGATGAAGAGGTATGATTGATAAGAATGATATATTTTACATACTTATAACAGTGACTAATGACGTGCAGTGTATACTTCTAATAGTCACTAACAATATTCAGTACATACTTGTAATAGTAGATAATGAAATTCAGTACATACTTTCGATGATAGCTAAGAGTATTCAATATATAATAATAATGGTTGCCCCTTGTGTAACGAGGATGGATGGATGACCCAAGGGCCACTTAAGCGTGAATTTGTTTAAGCTGTAGAAGCTGTCGCCAGCAAATCAACCACACCCTAAGTTAACGAGTTGCATGACCCAGTTACAAGGAATAGTCCGAGAAGATCGGACAAGTCGCCAACTGCACTGGCTAACCATTACCCGGAACACGATCCGCAAATCGATTAACATCCAGGTTCCCAATTACTGCTGGGTAGACGGAAGCAAATGACGTAAAGAAATTTGCCCATAGTTTCACCCTGCCTTAATGATATACGGTGCATACTTGTTATAGTAACAAATAACAACCAACACATCACAGTGCCTCATGATATGCAATACAATATACCGTATTCGTTTGATAGTAATGATAGTAATCAGTGAAATACACAAAAATACTAATAAATATATCTTTCTCCTATGTTTAATATCGCCTACAGAGAATTCGACTATTGTACTTTTCAATATTACTTGAGATCATTATTACCTCTGTGTATGCCCTGGCATTGAACCAGAAGTAGAGCATCAGGTCGACCTAGCCGCCGCCGCCGCCTTATTAACATAGTACAGTACAGTACTGTGCTGTATTAATGATAGTAATTAAAAGCCATATCTCAAAAACTTGTTCATGAAGAGTTTTTCATATATATATATATATATATATATATATATATATATATATATATATATATATATATATATATATATATATATATATATATATACACATACACATATATCATATATATATATATATATATATATATATATATATATACACATATATCATATATATATATATATACACACATATACATATCGGTCACAGTCATGGGCTCGTGGGCCGTGGGTTCGAATCCTGGGGGATTGAGGTGTTGATTGTATGTAGAAGTCCGCGTGCTTTATTGGGCTCATGAAATATATATGGATCCTCGTGTTTCGAAGCCGGATTTGGTAAAACGTTACTCTGACCACCTACGTGATACGAGTCGTCCCCATTAGAGGTTCACGGCACCTTAAGCTCGTTGAACAGGCTTTGTGTGAAATATATATATATATATATATATATATATATATATATATATATATATATATATATATATATATATATATATATATGCAAATAAATCACTGTAGGTGCACGTGATACAGGTATATGCTGATAACCACAAGGAAAAAGAAAACACGAAGTTCCCAAGCGCTTTCGTGTAATTCACATCAGAATAAGAATCTCTTATTCTTACCATTTCACAAATTTTTCTCAAATTCCTTTACAACTAAAAACCTGGAACGCCAATGTGGCATTTAAAAACTCGTGCACTGTTAAACAAATGTTAATCAGGAACTCCCCCAACAACACAATTGGTTGCATTTATAAAGTTCCTTGCAAGGAATGTAATATGTTTTACTTAGGCCAGACAGGTAAAGATCTTGTAACTAGACTTAAACAACATAAATATAGTGTTAGGACAGGCCAGGAATCCAATGCTCTGTTTGTTCATTTGAGGGATAATAAGCATTGTATTGACTGGGATAATGCCTCCTCAATATTACCTTGTAATTCAATTGACAGTAGGAACATATAGAATCTAGTCTCATTAAACATACCGAAGCAGTCAACATGAATTTGAGTAATGGTATGTACAAACTGAACAATTTTGTAATTAAGAAGATTTGTAACCAGGTGAGAAGGTTGGGTCACCTTACCCTCTGTGTGAGAGACCTGACTACCGACCGATGCAGTGCTTTTTAAAGATTAGTAGGGTCATTACCTAATACCTGACCATTGTGGACCTGATCTCACCCTCCTCTGTATATATACACCTTGTTTTGTACTTCTCCTTAGCCTCACCCCTGAAGATGTGAATTACACGAAAGCGCTTGGGAACTTCGTGTTTTCTTTTTCCTTGTGGTTATCAGCATATGTATACACTATATATATATATATATATATATATATATATATATATATATACTGTATATATAATGTGTACTTTATTGGTTTTAGGTGTGGGGTATTTTTTATTTTCCATTATGACGGCTGCTCATGGAACTAGAGAACCTATCTCTTATTTTTGCTCATAAGAATTTGTATTTCTAGATTTACATTACACAAGCTTTTTTAGTCCTTAATTCAGAAAAGTAATTAGTGTAATCACATATTTTTTTTTGTTTTTTAATGTCTTTTTTTTATTTTTATATATACTAACTATTGCACTTCCTTGTATTTCAGGGGTGATCAAGTATATTGGTCAGGTAGACTTTGAGGCTGGGACTTGGCTCGGGGTGGAGCTCCGGGCAGCCAAGGGGCGGCATGACGGAACTGTGAGGGGGCGACGATACTTCTCCTGCCGCCCACGCCACGGCGTCATGGTTAAGCCCAGCAAGGTCTACGTCAGGGGCATCAATGGCGCCAAGCTTGTTAAACCTGAAGATGACTTCGAGGAATAGTTGTGTTTATTAGAGTTCATTAGTTCAAGTATTGCAGGAGAGTATGCTCTACCTTGAATAGTAGTGTATCAATTCGAGGTGTAAGCTTGGTTATCACATCTAGAAGTGTGTGTACCAGTTCGAGGAGTAGCATACTCTTTAACTCGAACAGTTGGGTGTATGCTTTAGATCAAGACACATGTCTATTCATCAGGAGTCATGTGTGAATGGATATACATGCCTTAGGAGTGCTGATGGTGTACTAGGTCCAGGAGTAGACCGCGTCCCATAGATGTTGGTAAACAGCTGTTAAAGGAGATAACGGTGAGTTTATTACGATACCTGGGGAAGCTCTGGATTATACAGTAAAAAATTGCAGACTACTTTTTAACCAGGTTGACAGGAACTGTCGTTGTTCATTTATTACCTAGCACTGTAGCATCTAGGTTTTCATTGCTGCATAGCCAGGGTATGATAATGTGGAATTGTGGAAAGCATAATTGCTCTCTATTCATACATCTTTTTTTTATAAAATATTTAACTTATGATATTAATAATTTCAATTTGTGTGCGTATATCAATAGTAAATATCACACGGTTTTATTATTCGTAATTATGTGAAAGTACAATGACAACCATTCCTAAAATGCCCATCCGTAAGTATAAGTCACACACCACAGCATTGTTGATGGTGCTGCAGTGTTGATGCTTTATCTTAGTCGCCCACTGTGCGATCGACATAACAATGGCAGTATCGCCATAGACAACACTTACTACATGTACTCTACAATGTCTTTTTTTTTTACGTAAGGAAAATTACTGTTGTTGCACATATGTATAGATTTAAAAGACCTATATTGTTACTATATATATATATATATATATATATATATATATATATATATATATATATATATATATATATATATATATATATATATATATATATATATATATATATACTGAATATCTAATATCTTGCACCCCTTATACTTAACACAAGGTAAGATTCTTTAATTAGTGGTACAGAGTAGGGGTCTCGGGTAATGAATCATCTGTATGAAGCAAATTAATGTGTTTAGACGACTATAATGAGGTTCTCATATTGTCATTTTCATATTCTATAATTTCTATTTATAGGAAATGTGGGAGAGGCTCACTGTAGTCTTGTAACATTCTATAGTACAGTACCATACATATTGTATATATTGCAAGTTTCAATTACTTAATATAATATTGTTATGCTTTTTGTGGTTTTCTTTTAATTATATGTTACCACACAGCCTTCTCTGCTAGGTCAGAGACGATGTGCCATGTGTGACTGTAAATACTCTTTATTTTGTCAGGTACTTCAATAAAAGTATTTTGACGTGAGCTCCAGTTATTATTCCACCAAGGTTTAGAGTCGTCACAGCTACCCATTGCCTTGTGACTACTTAACATTACAAGTTGTTTGGATCCTTGACCCTTGTTATTTGTTGCCACTATTTCTCATCCTTTTCACAAGTCTGTAAATATTATGGCGCTGAATTTTTCATTTGTTTTTTTTTTTACAATATTTTCAGTTGTTTTACGAATATGTACAGAAATCATGCACAATTATTTTGTGATATTTTTGTACACTACGTTTACTGTTTGTGTGTTAGTGAGTTTATTATTTATATCATTATTGATATTAATAATAACTGAATTTCTACTTACCGTCTATAGTGTACGTAATGCTGTACAGTATTTCCATTGGTTACCCAACCCCAAGCACTGTAATGTAGCTTCAGCGACCAAGATTTTACTGTGTTGAATCAAGTTTTTATAATCTCAATGTAAATATGTTCTGTATAAATTACCAATAATTTGGTTAGTTTTGCATTATACGATTTGGATATAATTCAACTATCATTTTACCGTTGTTGTCGTAATACGAAACATTCTGTATCCAAACATCGTTAGGAAAGCTTTCATCATCACCTCGTCCTACCCTGTAAAGGAAACTTTATACTAAAACATTTAAAAGGTGTACGATTTACGAACTTCCTCCCTTAGAGTCCTTGAGCCGCTTGGAGTAACTGAGCTTCTCTTTTTCCTCCGTACTTGTTTTGGTATTTCTATGTTCTTTAAGGTGTCTTCAACTAGATAAAATGTGTTTACATTGGTTATTAAGGTGAATTTTACCTACTGATTTAATGGTGTCATCACTTCGACGCAACGCCAGAAATAGGGTATTGAGTGACCGATATCGATGATGTAATTGAAATATAACGTTTATGCTCAGTTCTTGTTATATTGAGAAAAACAAATTATTATGTAGAATATATTCATTGTACATTTTTCAAGTCTGTATGACAGCCATCGTGGAATTTAAGATGACTAACATTAAAAACTTGCAAGGTAAGGTACACATGACACTTCTGAAGGGCTATTAATAAGGCTGATGATCGACCCAAATTCGACCTTGACTGTCACACCATGGATAAGAAGACAAAGATGCATGATTTAACTGTGTAATAAAAGGAGAGTATATGACTTACATTTAAAGTGTTATATAAGTTCTGTATGGGTTTCATAGACAAGAAGTGCAAGGAATGAAGGAGGTAAGTGATGCAGTTATATTAAGAATAGGGAAGGCTAATATGTTAGATTTTATTGGCATTGACCATTGCAGAAAAGAGAGGGAAGAGGCATCTCGTACTACTTAAAGGAGTGGTATAGGGGAAATGATAGACTGATCATTTATGAGGAGGTTGTTTAAATTTGATTCGTCTTATAATAAATAGGACTGTGGCTCTAAACTGGAAAGCAGTACAGGATTTTTTCATGTGGAGTTAGACATGGTTATTTTAATAAATAAGTTGTGTGAGTCGAGAACATATCGCTCTTAAAAAAGGAAACATTTTGGATGCACTCTTTGCAGTGTTAGAATTGTGTTAATTCAATGGGGTTATTGGTTATAGTAAGAATATAAATAGAAGTTGAAAATGTTCTTGTATGCGAGATATGGCAAGAATTTTTATCTTGGAAGTATTGAGTGAAACCAAGTTATTTGTGCCCCATTAGGCTATAGACATAAGATCAATGTTGAGTTTACTGGGAGACTAAATTGATTGTAGGCCCTGAAGCAGTAGAATAGACGACTTCTGTGTATTTCGTCAACAACAAAATAGCGTAAGCTGCTAGAAGGGATAGAGGAGTTCATCAAGGTGGAATGAGAAAGGGGTAGGAGATAGAACAGAGTTTTGCGGCACCTTTGCATTCATAGGAAAGAAATCCTAGTGTGAACCATTCGAGACAACACAGATGTGGCAGCTGAAGAAAATAGAGAACAAGATCAAGGAAGTAAAGTATCAGAGACAGACAATGCGAACTTTGTGTCATCTCTCACCACAAGCTTTAGATATAATAAGGGTTCAAGATTCACCAGTTATCAAGAGTACATTTAAGATAGAACTAACTATATTGGGCGCCAGAGAAGAACTAGTGTGTTTCACGGTGATGGGTCAGTATTGGGAAGAAGAAAATGGATAGTTTTTTTTATGGGAATAGGCTTGGACATGTCTAATTTCTTTGACGAGGAAACCGAATGAGAAGTGTAAGAAAAGACTAAGGTTTGGGTAGAACAGGACAACTTGCTCTTAGGTTCACATTTTTTGAGGGTGGGAGGGAGAAACTTATCAGGTCCTAAGGCTTTGCAAGATAGAGAAACTAGAAAGAAATTAATTGGAAAAACAAAATTGAAAGTGTGTGAGTAACAAATCAAGGCTGCTTGCTGTCACCAGGGAGATCAGGAATTAAAGTTGATTCTATTAGACTGAATGAGAAAATTTAGGCGAGAAGCTATCTAGTCACGGTAATAAAGTAATATACAGTATATGTGTGTACGTGTGTGTAAACAATAATTGTTTATGAGTTCTGAGGATCGAACCCGGGCCACCAGAATGACACAGACAGGCAGCTTATCCACAAACACGATGGGCTGAAAGCTCTTCCACCTAAATCACTTTCTTGTAGATCAGGCTCCCTGCTCACTCTTTGAACATAAGAACATATGAAAGTGGGATACTGCAGGAGGCCGACTGGCCCATACAGGGCAGATCCCTTTCACACCCATCCCAGCACTTCCATGTGCCTATCCAACTTCGTCTTGAAGCTCCCTAGCGTCCCCGATCCTACTATAGCACTCGGTAGCCTATTCCACATATCCACAACTCTATTACCAAACCAGTGCTTGCCTATATCCTTTCTGAATCGGAATTTATCTAATTTAAAGCCATTTGTTCTAGTTATTTCGTTATTACTGAGCTTCAGAACATCTTCCATTTTACCCTTGTTAATCCCACTTACCCACTTGAACACCTCTATCATATCTCCCCTAACTCTACGCCTCTCTAATGAATGCAAGCCTAAGCTTTTCAGTCTTTCTTCATATGGAAGGTTTCTAATATTATGGATCATTTTGTCATTCTTCTTTGTACTCTCTCCAAAGAATCTATGTCCATTCTATAATAAGGACACCAGAATTGAACCGCATAATCCATGTGTGGCCTCACTAATGCTAGGTAAAGTTTCAAGATAACGTCAGCAGTTCTGTTACTCACACTCCTAGATATGAACCCAAGAATCCTGTTTGCCTTGTTGCGAACGCTAATACATTGTTTTCTAGGTTTCAAGTCGTTGCTAACAAATACACCTAGATCTTTTTCACAATCTGAGTTTTCTTTTTCCGTGTTACCTAGTTTATACTTAACGTTTGTATTCGTCTTCCCTATCTGTAGTACCTTGCATTTATTAGTATTAAAATTCATTTGCCAGTCTACTGACCACTCATGTAAGGTATCTAGATCTCTTTGAAGGTGTTCAAAGTCACTGTCTGAATTTATCACTCTCCCCATTTTGGTATCATCTGCAAATTTACTAATGCTATTAGTTATACCTAAATCAAGATCATTAATGAATATAACAAACAGCAGGGGGCCTAATACAGATCCCTGGGGAACTCGTTTTTGACCGCACCCCAGTCTGACTTAAATCCATTTATGCTGACTTTTTGTTTCCTACCAGTTAACCATGACCTAATCCATTTTAATAATGATCATTATCGCTAAGTTGATTTTTCCAATCTATGCCTGAAAAGTTGAAATCGCCTAGAATACATACATTGTTTCTATTAGATGCCTTCTTTATTTCCTCCCATAGCAATTTACCATCGTTCCTACTCAAATTAGGTGGTCTATATATAACACCAATGACTACGGATTCACTGCCCTCACCAATCTCTACCCAAATACTTTCATTGTCACTATTTGTTTTAATGTTTGATTTATTGCAGCTTTTTAATGACACCCTGATATACACTGCTACACCGCCCCCTCTCCTTCCTACTCTGTCAAATTTAAATAGGTTATATCCTGGAATATGAAATTCTGCTAAAAAATGTTTGCTGTTTGAATTTATCCATGTTTCCGTTATTGCAATTATATCTATGTTCTCTTTACTAACAATGGCTCTGAGCTGGTCCATTTTGTTACACAAGCTTCTACTATTAGTATAATAAACACTCAATATATTTCTTCCGTTTCTATCTGTTTTACATTTATTACTTTGATGTTTGTTATTATGACTAACTATATTTTCAGCATTATCTACTTCTGTTTCACTGTTGTTTTTTTCACATGGTATTTTCCTCTCTTTACCATTGATGGGATTTGGACATATTAAAACCCCACCTTTACTACCCTGTCAACTATCTTCGCTAGCACGGCCACCCCCTTCCTACTTAAATGCACCCCATCCCTTGCATACATACTATCATTACCATAGTACAGGCTCCAATTATCAATGAATGGCGTCGACAGCTCTTTACACTGTTCTTCCAACCAGCAA